GTAATTGTTTTTGGCTAAAATTTTTCTAATGTTCTAAATTAATGGGTCTGATAATTGAGATCTTTAAAAAACAACTGTTCTGAGGTGCCTAAATAATTCATGTTGAAAATAATAAAATACACTTTTTTCTCTTCAGAAAATTGTTAAATTTATGCTGTAAGATATATGTTGGATAATTGCTTTTTTTACCAGTACATTAAGCAGTTAAATAAAATTAATTATATGCATAACAAGACAAGCGCAAAGATTAAATAAGCAAAATTCTATCTAAAAATATTTATTTTTTAAAATATTTATGTTTTAAGTCGTGTTGTAATTAGTTTATGTATATATTTTTGTTTAAGTGATTCAATTTTGAATGAATTGATCGGAATTAGCTAAGTGACCTCAAAAATTATGATCATATTATAATATCATTAATCATTTTTTGTTAATACAAAATTGCATTAAGTTTTTATACATTATTTATTAATATTTTTAATTTTTAGATGTAAATCCATTGTTTTTTATAGTAGTTTTTTTATTTATTATTAGATATATACTAATGCTGCCTATTAGCTTGCTCAAACTTTAGCGGCACGCACGAAGCATTCATTTCTTGGTCGCGCACATTCCTCATAACCCTCCGACATGATCAGTTCCTGGGTTTTGACTTCTGGCATTGATTCCCGCGATGACCTTGTTACTATGGCTAAGCTTGCTGAGCAGGCGGAGCGTTATGATGATATGGCAGCTGCGATGAAGCTTGTTACCGAGAAGGGCCTCGAACTTGGTAATGAGGAACGGAATTTGCTCTCAGTGGCCTACAAAAACGTCGTCGGAGCCCGCAGGTCGGCATGGCGGATAATTTCCAATAGTGAAACTAAGACTAGTAACAGTGAAAAACGTCAACTCCATGCTAAAGAATATCGTGAGAAGATCGAGAAGGAATTGAATGACATTTGCAGAGAGGTCCTGGTGAGCGTTCTTTTTGTTTTATTCTTCAGGGCCTTCTTGAGAAGCATCTTACTCCCAAAGCCTCAAACTCTGAAAGTCAAGTTTTCTACCTGAAAATGGAGGGCGATTACTATAGATATTTGGCAGAAGTTGCGACAGGCGAGGCACGTGATGAAGTTGTGGAGGCTTCTCTTAATGCTTACAGAAAGGCCACCAGGGCTGCCGAAGACAAACTATCAACAACACACCCTATTCGTCTTGGTCTCGCTCTAAATCATTCCGTATTTTATTACGAGATCAAGAACGATCCTGATCAGGCTTGCCTACTCGCCAAACGCTCATTTGATGATGCCATTGCTGAAATCGATAACCTTCAAGAGGATTCGTACAAGGACAGCACCCTTATAATGCAGCTTTTAAGGGATAATCTTACGGTACTCTGTCTTTACGTTTTCTAATCTCTCTCTAGCTCTGGACAACTGATCAAGGCGACGGTGAGGACGTTGACGCCGGCGATCAGTAAAAGGCTGGCTAAGTTCGTGGTGGCTGTTTGGTTTGTTTGGTCTATTTGCACAGCTTCGAGTCAGCTCTGACGTCTCGCTCCCTTCCTACGAACCTAGTGTAAATTATCCTCTGCGCTCCGTGCGTCATTCTTTTTTATCCCTTTCGAGCGGTGTACGTTGAGCAATGAATTAGTTGCAACGTCAGTCTGTTTGAATCGGCTCATGATGCTGAACAAGATCTCAAAGCCTATCTCCACCGGTCCTGTTTTGTCCGTTAAAGCTTGCTTCGGATCGGACCGAGTCGTCTGAGCGCGAGGCGCGGACTTTAACTGTCAAACCAGCACCACGCTTTGTCCTGCATCAAAGCTCCGGAATTTTCGACCCTCGATCCCTGGCATCTGTGCTCTTTCGCTCCAAATTTTGCTGAATGCGACGGTTATCACTTTTACCTTAAATATATACTGTTGAAAAGCACCCTCCAAGTCATTTTAATAGGCTGTGTGGTTTTCGCTTTATTCGTGAATTATGCTGTGATAATCAGATTGTCAAGTCTCATCCAAAAGATCGCCACATTGCCCACATAAGTATCATTGTTCCAACGGCAAGGACGCAGAAAATGACTTTGTCCTGGTGACTTCTCCTTTCTATCATTCGCAATACCGCATTCGAGACCCCGAGCGTGTTGACCATATTCAGGACTCTGGTTTTCGCTCCTTTCAGGAGCATTCTAAAAAGGAAAAAGAATGCTTTATATCTGGCTTCTGTGAATGCTCGTAGTATGCTTATTCCAGCTTGATTAAGAGGCGTATTTCGTCTAGCATTTCGGGTGTATAGTAAGTAGACCATTCAACTGGCGGCGTTCGGCTGGGGCCTATCGGTAGGTAGTGATACAAGCATGTCTGGGTGGCGCATGGCAGTTAAACTTACCTCTGCTCTTTAAGGCCTGATAGGCTGGAGGCCCCCATCGAAATTATTTCGTTCAGGCGCCTGTCCACCGATTTCAACCGCGAGTGATGCAGCTCATCTGTGCCGGTGTGGCCTGTGCCCAAGTTGATCACCGAGTGGCCGCCACCGTTGGACAACGCTGACTGGCGATTTGTGGTGAAGTCTTCAGCGAGAAGTTCATCCCGGTCTCTCAAGTGTCTCTCGTGTTCTGATCTGCAAGAAAAGACAGCACATCCGCAAGGATAATTCATAAAGTAGTGACCTCAGTGACGATATATTGCTGGGAGCATCTTCCACACGGGTCGTCATTTAGCTCAAAGATCGCTAGGGGCTTTAGAAGAAAATGCAAATAGTTGAAAACAAGCGAATTTATTGTATGCTTCCGCGCCTAGTATCACCGGCCCAGTCGTGGTTAATGCGGTCCTCGGACAAGAAGGCAAATCTTGACCAGCATTTTAAGTCGATAATATATTCTAAGAATTCACGTCTAAACCGAGGTGGGTTTGAGAATGGTCGGTTAGCCTAAATTGCTCGCTAACTGTGCGCTCGGCTTCGTACTTCTGTATATGATACGCCACCCGCGCACAGAGGGACAAGAAAGCGGGCCGTGTGTTATCTTACGTAGAAAGAGATTCACAGACGAAGGTCCGAAGTATTAAAACACGCCGACGGTATTCGGTGGGATGGGCTGATAACTGTACAGAGGGAGCGGCGGAGCAGGATATCACCCACAAGGCATTCTTGGCTGAGTACATTAAATGTAACGTTCTTATTGGCTCAACGTGAAAGCCCAAGAGGTCACTAGGTTAGCCTAGTGTCGGTAAGTCATGCCTAGAGTGGTGTTGCGTGAGTTGAGTTATGTGGAGTGCAAGTAATTAAAATGTTCAGTCGCTGCGTGAGAATTCGCTTTGAAAAATTATTGGAGTACGCCATTGCTGCTGAATATTTTAGAGACTTGGAGCATGAGAAAGCTGGTTACTTAAGAATTATAATTGCAATCTTGTCGAGAATGCACTTCGGGCTAAATTGTCATAAGATAGTGCATGTCAGCTCATGATGAAGCATGAGTATGGTGCTAGAATCGGGAGTAAATGCCAAAAATATTTGAAGCGCCAGAGTAATTTTCTTATGAAGCAGCTTAAGGGTGAATTTGAATTAATAAATCTTGCGAACTAGCTAGTAATGTAATCAAATATCAAACTAGCGGCCCTCATAAAAGGGCCACAATACGCCCAAGACTGGTATTTGATGAACGAATCTGCGTTTCTAGTGAAAAATATTTCGTCAAGAGATTCGGAGTTCAGTCCAATCACATGACCACCCCTATGGATTACCATTACTAGAGCAACTTTGCTAGCATCATTCCCAAAACAATCGATCTATGTGTTACGTGCTTGGCTTTCGCCAGTCATGTGGCGCATATAAGCGAAACAGAATATTTGAGCTAAGGAGTCGAGATAACTCACTGGCTCCTCTCTAATATCTGTATATATACTCTATAGTTGTGCATGTTGGTGAGACAGCACTAATAAGGTTATCCCATCAAAGTTAATCGACAGCCGGCCAAAAAGAATCCACGATTGTCATATGGTTTGATTGGCCTTCAAATCTCTTCGCCAGAAATATCCTAAATGAGTTCAACAAATAGAAGCCAAGAGGCTAATCGAAGCCCAACTTTTCTCTGCATATACTTGGTTTAGGTATGTTTTAACCGACGCATTAAAATTAATTGGGTAGAAATGCTCGAGATAAATGAAAAATGGGAACTATAAAAATGCAATTGAATTTTCACTTGAGAAGCATAAATCGAAAAGTTCGTGATCGAAGGTGAATTCCCTGTAAATCGAAAATATCCATCTATAGAAGTGGTTTGGCCTCATTTTCACAACTTGGTCGCGTTGTTAAGACGACCTAGAGCAGCACACTTTGTCAAAGTGCTTTTTTATGATAAGCATGATAATTTACGGCGTCGGACCTGGAATTTGGTACAATCCCAGATTGCAAACAAGGTGCATTACTCTAGATCCCCATGGACAAATGGCGGGGTTTATAAGATAAGGTAAAACCAACTAGATGCAACAAAAGTGAACCACGACTAAAGTAGAGGTCAAATCATCTCAATATCCTCATATATGCGATTAAGGCATATATAGTTTTATAAAAACAATTGTGCTTAGCACATGCCCATAAATCTGGTTAAGGGTAAAAATAAATTTAAAGATATTTAATTGAAGGTATGAAGACCAAGATGGTGTGGCCTTTTGTGTGGTCGCAGTCTCCTTTCGTTGTATAG